CGTGCAGTTTCGCGTGCATCAAAACTTTCCTAAGTACTTCACAAATGCCGCCAAATGCAACCCAAAAATTTATCCGCTATGCACTCTGGAATGATACAAGCAGTCATTCTTTAATTTAACTTACAGGTTCAAATTCCTTTTGGAATGAGTTGTACAAAATACGTAAACGTACCATGATTTCTCAGTAATCATTTCTAACCTGACAATTTTTCATCTTCAACGTATTGAATTGACAATGCGAACTGTTATTCAGCATTAAATATTTCAAAATCGTACACATAATTAACTGCTAATTCTCTTTGAGCAAAGAATTCATCCCACTACGCTTCCATGCAAATCTGCCGAAAAACGTGTACCACTTCATGCACTTGCATGTAAAGTGAATAGTATGGTTTGGTGTGGGATGATGTCAAGATGCGTAAGACATACAGCCCTTAAGGGCTGTAATTCATCCGAATTTTCCTAATATCTGACTAAAATTCAGCACAAGACGTAGAAGCAAATTTTATTTAAAATTTTAATTGGATTTTCTTACCATTTTCTGTTAGTTTAATGTTTATACTTGTTTCTCGCTACAAGTGATAAAAGAGGTAAGATTATGTGTAACATCGGAAGCTAATATATCACATTATATTCATGATACCATTTAAACAATCAAATCTCCTTAGGCTTCTGAATACGAACAGCTGAAGATATTTCTTTAATGGACTGAAGTATGTGTTCAACTATGGAATACGGGGGAATACAGAAACCAACGTGATTCAGTGAACAATTTTTGACTGCGCAAAGTTCATGAGTCAGCTCAATTTTAATCTCTGATTCCTCTATTCAATTCGATCATTTTTCTTCCGATGTGCAGACCTCTTTAAAGCGAATTGGAGTTTACCTGTCTTTTAAACTTGAAACCTTTTGCTTGGATTGCGTTTCTTATGTTGAAATGTCTTGAATTTCCGAAGAAATCAATTATCCCGATTCATATTAATTCGCTTATATGCGTGAATATGCTTTATCATGATTACTGGATTACATAAGCTATGACTTAGCTGGAAGAGAGTGCATAGTGAAGTCGGTTTGTCTGGTCTTTCCTTTCGCTATTAAACTTTGTCATAGTTATAACTGCTAAGAGTACCTGGCCATCTTGGGGATACGCTCCATGTTCTGAGATATCAGGTAAATTGTTTATCAAATCGGCAACGGCAATGTTTTCGACTGAATAATTACTGCTGTTTCATCGGTCAAAATAACCCTGATGGGATGAATCGTTCTGCAACTTACTGTGATTTCCTGATGTTACATATGAAGGAGCTCCAAACTGGCCAGAATATTGTGTTGTGTATGACTTTCGTAGAGGACTTGAACCTCGCAGTTCTACATGATCAAAATTTTACTTTAGCTGCCATCTGATATTGTTTAAAGTAAAAATAACCGAAGCAAAATCATCTCTTTTATCGTGGATGCAGAGCAGTCAATCGAGTGTGCATTCGCCGTGGAAGGTCATACGAAAAATGACTTGCCTGACCTGATCGAGGCTAGGCTGGTTCATAAATATACTGCTTTATTCGGCCGTAGGTATCGTAATCGGCAGAAGGTTTAGCTGAACATATTAGCAGAAATTCTGTTTCCTACTATTCCTCATCATTTTGAAACCAGTCGACACCGAAATTTTTGATGCATGTTTTCCCGACGGCTTATGTCGTGATTTTAAAATCTCACTCTGACACTGTATCTTACGGTCATGAGACGACTTAGTCAACACATATTCGTTTTACCTTTCCACCGTAAGCAACGAGTATGACTGACCATTGGTGTAACTTGCTTCCTATTTAATCACTAGCTTTCAGCAAGTAAGCTTTTGTTGAAGAGTGGAAACTTCGTTGAGTTTAACACTTAAGCTACTAACAAGTTCACATTAATCGATTAAATATTATTAAAATTGCATCAATAACTTAACATGGCTGATATTATTCTTTGTAGAGGTAAATCTGTGTCTTTTGCGCATTTGATACTGATCATACAGATCTACTGTACCCTTCAGGATCGTATTTTGCTAGTTTCCAGTGGAAAGTCGTTATCGACGTTGGCTACATTTTCAGAATCTTAGAGACGTAGATTTGTTACTCCTTTGAGAATTCGGAGAACACCTGCTGTTAAAAAATTTGGCAGTGTAACATCTCAGAACGAGTTGTCAGTTGTTAAATACAGCCGTATTAAGTTTAGTCAATTCTTTCATCATTCGATCAAGACGCGTTGTTATCTGGAAACTTATTTTTCTTCTGTTGTACTTTCTGATGTTTCATTTAGATTATGCTCTGCTTTTGTCCATTTTAAATATTTGTGTGTGTATTTAACTCTGGTTTGAGCCGCTGTAAAGTATTACACCATCTTTTAAGCACTACAGCGAAAAATTTTATATAGACTGCTCCGTTTTAGTAGACCGATTCGAAGTGACTTCAGTAGCATATTTTGCAGTATAACCACCTATGAATAGCACAACGCTGAGTAACCTTTTCTCCGTCGTCTTTTCGTCATTCACCGCAAGATCCATGAAAATACTACATTGAGACTTCACAGTTGCATGATCACACGCAACGTGAAGATGTTCTCCATCCGAAGCAGGAGATAGATTACCTGAAATTTAGACAAAGGTAAAACATTTGCAACATTTACACAAAGCTAGTATTTGGAACACAGAGTAAAAGGCTGTTTTCCCTTCTATATTAAATTTAGGCACATGTTCCTCTTCCGATGTTCCGTATCTTCCGAGGTACACACGACAAGACATGGAGATTCTTTACTATTACAACTCATTCGGATTGAACGCTATTTACGTTAGAGGCATGGTGGACGTTTAGGTTATTTACTGAGGTCTTACAGTGCGTTGTATGTCTACTTTTTTAGGAATGTTGTGAAAAACGCATTGATGGCTTGGGCATGTGTTGCGAATGCCTCCAGAAAGGAAGGCTAAGCAACTGTTCCTTGCCAATCCGACCGGCAGAAGGCCCAGGGGACGGCCAAGATTACCCTGGTGCAAACATATGGAAGGAATCTGTTCGAGACTCCATTTGTCTTTTGCAGAAGCTCAGAGTCTGGCACAGGATCGGGAACGTTGGAACTCTGTTTGACGTGTCTGCCTCCGCCACCCGAAAGGAGAAGCGGCGATAAAAGATGATGATGGTGGTGGTGAAAAACGCGTTTGCGAGCCGAAGAGACTTGCATTAAAAGTTT